GAGAACCAGACCGAGCAGCCCCGCAGCCGCCACGGCGCCCTGCCCGCCGCCGCCGCCCCCGCCAGCCCCAAGCGCCTGCTGGGCGGCGGGCCCTCCCCGTCCCCCCCCGCCGCCTCCTCGCCCGACGGCCGCTGCCTCAGCCCCAGGGCCGCCGCCCGGCGGCCGCCCCTCTCTGAGGAGCCCGGCGGCGGCGCGGACGGCGAGGAGGGCAACAGCCTCCTGGACGACGCGGAGCTGGTCAGGCCGGAGGAGCTGGAGCGGTTGGCCGGCTGCGAGGAGGACGAGTCCGGCTGGTGAGGAGGGGATGGGGGTTGAGGGGGGTCCCCCCCTTCCTCGGGGTCCCCCCTTCCTCTCCGCCCTTCCCCCGGGGAGGAAGGGGCCGTGCCCGGCCGTGTGGTCGGAGGTGGTCTGGGGGCTTTGTGTGGGGAGGTGGCCTCGCCCTTTGGGGCTGGGAGAAGGGATGAAGCTCTCCAAGGAGCCCCGGAGCCGGCAGGGGAAGGGTGTTGGGGTTTCTTCTGCACATCACATCGCACCTCCCTGGAGGCCTGCGGCGCTGTGCCGGGAGAGCTTTGCGTGGGGTCACTTGGAGACCGGAGCAGGCTCCGGTTCCGCCCCGGGATCCGTTGTCAGCGTTTTCACAAGTTCAGGAGGTGTTGGAGGCGTCGGGGAAACTTGTGGAAATTTTCTGGGGTAGCGCAGAATTCGCCCACAGGGTACTGTTGTGCTTCTTCAGACGTGCACCGAGCATGTTTTAAGCCTTGATTTCTTTCAGCTGTGACGGCAGAAAATGTAACATACTCCATCTCATAGCTGCGTTGTCCTCAGGTGTCTTCATTTATTGCTAACGATGTGGGACCACAGTTTACCTTAGGCAGTTCCTCTCTTTTTAAGTGGACTGCTTACCTTGCAGCTCCAGCAGAAACATCTGCAGGTGGCTGTTTACCTTGCCTTTATTACACTTGGATGAGCTTCTGCTGAGAATGAAGAGGGTTTGCTCTCTCTTAACATCATGCTGTTCTCCAGCTGTCTTTTTGAAGTTTCCTATGACACTAGTTGAGGAGAAGTATTAGAGCTGCAGGGGAAATATTGGAGAGGAACACAGTGTCAACAGAGAAATACAAGGGATAGAGGGTACAGGGAGTAGAAGTGTAACCAGCCTGACTCGAGCCAGAACTGGTTGCAGGTTCATCTACAAAGGTCTCTTTTGGGAGTAAAAACATAGACAAATTTAAAAAACAAACAAATAAAAATGTCTTTCAGCATTAGAAACACCTTTAAAAGCGCTGGAATGATTCCATGCATGAGCAATGTTTTGGTTGCTCAGGGAGGAGACGTGTGCACTTCCTCAGAGAAGTCACTTGCCTGACACCCAGCCTGATCCACTGGAGAAGTATGACAGCATAAGTTTATTCTCATCCAACATGTGCTTACTAAATTAACACAAGTCATCATCTTCAGTGGCATCATCATCTGATGAGTCTGTGCAAAGCAGCTACTCCTTGGCTTATGCCTTTTAATCCACTGGTTTATAGCACTTGAGGGAAGTGCAATATACTAGATTTGCACTGTAAGTTTGGAGAGGGGTGGCCAAGTTTGTGAATGTCATGAGTTCTAGTGACAATAGATGTTATCATTTTATGTATTAATCCTAAGTCATGGGCAACATAATGCATCTCTTTGGTGAAAGTTAATGTCACAGCAGAGCCTGTGGTGACAGTGATGGCATAAATGCTGTGTGTTTTTGTTTATGCGGTTCTGGACACTCATGGGCAGGTGGCACAGTTCACTGAGCACTGCTCGTGCTGGTGTCAGCTGTTTGGCACATTACTTAAGCTGCCTGTTATCGTGGCTTCAGTCATGTTCTCTGCAAGTTCTAGTCCTCAAAAGGCAACAAAACTCAAGTGTGGTCTGTTGTATGTCTTCATCCCTTTGCTAATATTTGAGCAACTGTAATACTCATTTTTGATATCAGACAATGACTGAGACACAGAAGTATACACCTAGAAATTATTGTCGTACATATTGAGAAATATGGCTGGGTAATTAAAAAAAAAACAACAAACTTTGTCTCTTCATGCTGTAGTTTAATATGGACTTAATGGTAGTTGTGGTTTGACTAGATTGACTGATGATGGTTTCTTTCCAAATTGTTCTATAAAAATGGAAATCAAACTCCTGTAATTTCTTAACATCATTTAATTCAAATGTTGAGGCACTAAATACTCCGGGTTTTTTTCTGGTGAAGGTAGGATGACTATATTTGTGTGTTTGATAAATGGAGGTTATTGCTCTAAATGAAGTTGGGAATTTTCAGAGGGCTAGTGGAGCAATCAAAGAGAAACAACCCTGTGAAAATAGGCAGGATGATGTGAGTAGGTTTCATAAAGGTCCTGCTCTTAAGGCCTCGGTCATGCGAGGTCACTCAAAAAGTAACTGAATCAACCGAAAGGGTGAATGCATTCGATGAAATTTAAACCTCATGTGAACTCTTCGAAGTTCAAATGGATTTGGATCACTACTGCTTAACCCAAAATCCCATTTAAACTGTGGGATTATACCACTGTAGAAATCAAAGACCACTTACCAGCTGAGGAAATCTCACCTGGAAGCAAAATAAATTTAAATCATAGTTTGTGCATAAAAAAATGATTCATCTGTGATTCAGCTTGCCTGTTTTGATTGTCTGCATAGAGAAGCCTAGGTTTGTCTTTACCTTTTAATTACTTTTTGAATTTTGAAGGACCTTGCTGTGGGAGATAAAAGATGAAGGGTGCCAGTTATCTCTGTTCTTATCTCTGCTTTGTGTAATATGGCCATTTTTTCAGTTTGTGTATTCATATACTCCATTATGAAATTGTCCACAGCCTTGTAATGGCAGAAGAAATAGTTATCTTCACTGCTAAAATTACGTTGGTTTACATTTAATGCTCACATTAAATTAGTGCCTGTGAAGTTTGTCTATGAATTTAAGATGGCACAGTTGATACTGTGACTGAAATTGATACTGGAATGTGTATGGTGGTTTTTTTTAAGTCTACGTTTTGGAGTTGATTGGCTCATTTGTAGGTTTTAATTCTTTAAATGCTTTTAGATAAGTCTGCACAGGACAGAAGTGTAAAGTGAAAAATAAAGGGAGAAGATAGAACTAGCCTAAATTAAAAGAGCTTTGATACTGCAGCTTTAGTAGCAGCATTAGCTATTAAAACAGCATTACAGTATAGTGAACTTTGGGACTGTTTATATGTTTACTTGTTTGTTTTTCTTTACTGTGGTTAATTAAATTCAGATATGTTTTGTTTAAAACAGTTTAGCACACCAGACAATCTTCAGATCATCTGGTAAATTACTAAGAGTATGTCAGTGAATGTAGACTGAGTTTCTTGGCCATATGCTTCTGAATCCTGGTTAAGGTGCTGAAACTTTCTTCCTAATTGGGTACTGAAGGTTACAAATAGGTGCATATGCACGTGCACCCAGTACCGAGCTGTACCTCGTCCCACGGGGACTTTGCTTTAGGCCTGCTAATTACTTCCTTAAGAAGTTACCAAGGACTTTGGTAATCTATTCTGTGAGTGTTCCAGTTCAGCTGTTCTTGAACCAGATTGGATCAAACCTGATTTTTTTTCAACTTTCAATCTGAGCAGGTCTTTTTTTTTTTTTAAAATGAAATTAAATAATTAAAAAGTCAAAAGGGCAGGAAGGGGGACCAGAGTGGAGAAATCTTCAGAGAGGCAGGACGAGGTGTGCAGCTCCTTGCCTGCTTTGCTGGGAAAAGTTGGGTGTGGATGTGAAGCACATTTGAGACAACCTGGTAACAGTACACTTGCTGTGCTTCTTTTAAAAATTGTCTCAAATTTATTGCAGGATAAGTGTGCACACGTGGGCAATTACTGTAATTAGTTCATGTGCTGTGAATCCTCTGTAACTTGCTTTGTAGTAACTTGTTACAAAGTCACTTACCTAAGCTTTCAGCAAAATATACAGTGCTTTTTTTCTTCAAAGCTTATATGCTGTGTGTGCATAAAAGAGTATAGAGCTTGCTGTCTGTCTATTTTGAATGTTTAATTGCTCAACAAACTTGAGAACAGTTGTGTCCTCTTTAAATGACAGTGGCCTAGCACTTACCAGGGTTTCTGTGTCACTGCAAACTAAAGTCTCCTTGGTAGGGCTGAAATAGCTAACAGCTGACTGACTTCAGTTACCAACAAAAGGCAGTTACTGTGTGCATAAAGTGAAATTATTGGTGGGTTGTTTATGTTAATCTTAATAGTTCAAAGTAATCAGTGTTTTGAAGACCTCAGATTGGTTGGGTATCCTGTTTAGTTAAAATTGAAGGCAAGTACTTTTACTGTTATACACTCTCTCATTAAGCAGCTATTTCTGTTAAATTGGCACCTGTTTTTAATAGTTTACATTTCCATTCTGGCCATCCATTGCAGTTTGTTGGTTAAGTGGCTGTGACCTGTAGTGATTGTCTTTCATCTCATATTGCTTAACGTCCCTTGAGCACTAACTTTGTTTTGGAACCCTAAAGTTTGCCATAGTGAGGTAGTAAAGTGTAGGATGAGTGTTTTAGGGGAGAGCTGCACCTGAATGAAATCCCATTGCTGAAATTACACTGCAGCATTTCCTCTTCAACTGCTAAAATGTCATTGTATTAATGTGGTTCAGGCCTCTTGGAAGCTGGACAGATTTTGATCAATTCTTACCTTGTGACCTAAGTAAAAAAGAAATAGATGCTTTTCATTTTGTGGCAGAATAAATGTCAATCTGATTAAATCAGTTATTGGTTTTTAACCAAATTCAGTTAACATCATCTTAAACTAGGAAGATAATGTGAAAAGAAGCATGTGGGAGAGCTAAGGATTAAAGAAGTTACTAGTTTATCAAGGGAAACAAGTGGTAAGATCAAATAATACTCAGTTTGACTAATATCTTTGAGATATCTGTATTTGTTGTGAAACAGATGTTTGAGGACAGGCGGAAGAACTTTTTTCCATTTCTTACTTCCTGTGCAATATTTATGACTTTTAAAAGTGCTTGATATTTTTATGTCATGAAAGTTTTGATACGAATTTCCTTTATTGTCTTAATAGTATTCCTGGAGTTCACTTCATAGTTGTGTCTTGTTTAGGCATGATTAGCATTTCACTTCTTGTAGGGGTTGGTAGAGCTTTCAAGCCTAGTCATTAAGCAGAATCACATTTAATAGGACACAGAGCTTCTCAAATTTTCTCTATCCAATGTAAGTATCAACAATACCACATTAGAGCAGATATGTTCAAACACATTT